ACACACACACACACACACACACACACACACACACACACATACACACACACACACACACACACACACACACACAGACACACACACAGACACATACGCAGACACACACACAAATATATACACAATACATTGTATTGTTATGCTAAACACATGAAGAGAAGAGTTAGATTGTTAAAATGTGTGAAAAAAATTTCTAAAAAAAATGTAAATGTACAAATAAACAAACAAATAAATAAAAACCATTACACATACATACACACACAAGCTCAGCGACACAAAATAAAACCTAGTATAACACACGAACAAACAAACAAATATAGGAGACAAAATTCTATATCATAAATATTATCATAAAATAACGTATCAAACCCTTATTCCATATGTTACCTAAACATTTATACAAAATATTATATATATATATTATATAATTATAATGTGTATATATATATGTATATATACATATATATATATATAGAGAGAGAGAGAGAGAGGGGGGGAGAGAGAGAGAGAAAGAGAGAGTAATTATATAGTAATATGATGTACAGTAGCATACCTATACTGGGGATTCAAGTTCAAGATAAAAATTGAACTGCAGACCAAATATATTCAATACTTTTTCTACACATTTTTAATAAGGGAACAGAAATAAATAAAAAGAATAATAATAACAAAAACAATAATAATAATTATTATTAGCATAGAGATAAAATGATATTTGCAACTAACAATAAATTATTTTTGAAAAAATTAAACTACTTGGAGGAAAAAAAAATGTTTTTCTGATAGCAATTAAAAAAATAAATAAATAAAGAGACAGACAGGCAAACAAACCAATAAATAACTTAATTTAACTTAACTACTATATAAACAGATACAAACGAATGAATGGACGAACGAACGAATGAATGAGCGAATGAATGAACGAATGCATGACTGAAAGAATGAATCAGATTAATAATATTACACACAGAAGAAAAAGTCATTGAAATTAATATTAAATCAATTTTCATTAAAAAATTAATCACATCACGCACATGGCATGACATTCGAACATTGATGATGATGATAAAGATCTGATATAGATCTGCCTCAATCATTTAACTATCAATTATGAAATAAATATATATATGTATATATATATATATATATATATATATATATATATATTAATAAAAATAAAGTATAAAAAAATTATTATTAAGGAAAGAACGGAATATCAAGCAGTTCAATAATGTCAATTTTTAGCGACTTAAATTCAACAAATCAAACAACCAGTTAAATTAGCCTACATAACTCACAGCCCATTCAAAGAACCAATCAGATTCAAGCGTTCATATTGAGATATTTATAGACAAGTATGCCAGCTGTGACGGCAACCAATGAGAGAGCTCCGTACACATAACCCCAGCTGCTGCTGTATGTGTCTACGTCAAGCTGCTTGCGTTTCATTCTCTCCAGTGTCTCCTTCGTTCTCTTCACTCGTTCATCGTGCATTCTTTTCTTCTGGTCAGCACTGCAATTGGACGGAGACCTAAGATTGTTGTGGATGATTAATAAGTTAAATCATCTATTCATAATTACAGCTAATTCATTGCTAAATAATCTATCCGCAATAATATTAACAGAAATATTAATAATAATGATGATAATATAATTATAATAATAATCATCATATAATAATAATGATGATGTTGATGACAAAAATGAAAGGCACGATTTGAACACTAACTTGTCGTTTAAGTTTACAGGATTGTTTGACTGGTCCTCATCACAACAATCCTCCATATCATTGTCATTAACAGCAAGGAAATTTATTTTCTCCTCAACTCCATAATTATCCACACCAGCGGTATTTGCTGCTGCTGCAGCTGTAGCATCGTCGTCGTTGTCACTTTTGTTAGTTGTTTTAATCTTGTTGATGGTCTTTTGTTCTTTAACAGAATTGTATGATGTAACGTCATTCGCATTTGCTGCAAGAGTTTGTTGCAGTTGCTGTTGTAACTGCTGTTGACATTGTAGTGGCTGCTGTGGCTGTTTCTTTACGTGTTTTGAGATATCACCTGTTGGATGAAAAATGGAAACATAATAAATGGCTGCTAAGATGAAAAAGTTTGTAATAACGTTACCATTGTTATCATCTTCATCCTTTTTGGAATTAGCCTGTACATCAACTTTTTGTTTCTTCACAGCAACTTCATCGTCGTTGTCGTCTTCGTAATCATCCAGTTGCTCTTCACCTTCATCATCTTCTTCATAACCATTCCTTTCAAATCTCTAAAGTGGTTTTGTAATAATAATAATAGTAATAATAATAATAATAATAATAATAATAATAACAATAATAACAACAACAATAACAATAATAACAATAATGACAATAACAATAAAGTAGTTGTTGTTGCTGTCGTTTTAATCAGAAACATGAGATAATAAACAACGAACGCATAAATAAATTCTAGACCAAACATTTAACAGCCGTAAAATCCAAATTTCAAGTGAAAAATGCAGTGATCTTAATATTTTCTAGGCTAGAGTCAAATCAAGAGGCAAAACAGCATGAAATTTTGAATAAATTCACATACACATGACATGAACTAGTTGGCTAACAATACGAACATAATACAGCACCTAATAGCTCACAGCAACAAAAATATTTTCCATAATTATTGCTTCAATCTTTCTCAAAGAGATCAACAACAAACACACAGTGGATGTAAATACAAATGAATCAACTTGAATACTACATAGGTGAAAATCTATCATTCAAACCTGGTCACAGCAACACCAGTGCCAGGCACCTTAACCACTACACTATCACTCCACCCAAGTAACCATCAAAACAAAAAAAAACGCAAAACAGCGTCACACAAACCTCATCGTCGTCATCGGCATCATCTTCCTCATCTTCAACGTCCTCCTCGCCACAGCTATCGTCTAACTTTAACCTACTGGCCCCCTTCACGATGGCTATGAATGAAAATCTCAGCTGGTCGTGTGTCTGTATGAGGCCCATCCTATATTTGCGCATCTCCATCAGCTTCCCCAACACATTTATGTTGTCCAGTGTACCATACTTCTCTGCCTAATTCGAGGTAAGAGTAGAATATTTGCCATTAGATACTTCATTGTGGGTATTCATTGGGTATTATTCATTGTAGTATTATTTTTTTTATTTATTTGCCAGTAGGCAATGCAAACAGCAATAACTTTTTAACAAAAAACATTCAAGTAATTGTGAAGATGTGTAAATTGAAATTGATTTAATGATAATACCAGACGACAGACATAACTCTGAATTATATAATTAACAAATAATGTTAAAAAATATTGATGGAGTAATGAAACTAAACTAGAAGGAAAGTACATTTTTTGTCAGCTTAATGAAGAAAGTCGTCTCTTGTTTCTTAATGTGCTGAACTTTAAACAGACTTTCGTCTCTTTTTTATCGATAAAAGTAATCTTAAAAACATCCACTAAAAACCTGATTAGACTCCATAATGTGACATCAAACAATTTATACCAAAAAAAAACATTAGCCCATTATTTCAAACAGTGGCCTTAAAAACTAAAAATAAAGGTTACAGATAGTTTATTTTTTAAAATTTCTAAGTCCTAACCAGAACAAGACAAGTGTCGACGAGACAAAAAGTCCCAGACCGGCCGATGCCAGCAGAACAATGTATAACTGGCGGACGGCTGGGGTCGTCAAGGGCTGCGTACTTTCGAACTGTGTAGAGGAAGTTTAAGAAGTCTGTTGGCGTGTCGGGTACTCCAAAATCAGGCCACGACATGTAGTGGAATTGGAGAATTTGTCGAGTGTTTTTTGCGTCGTCTTCATCATCGTGATCGTTGCTACCATCCGCATTTCCTCTCCGTTCGTCGTCGTCATCACCATAATTTTCGAGGTTGTCTGAGGTTTTTTTTGACTATACGGGGAGGTTAAAAAAGTTATTCATTTACTCATTAACTATACGGGGTTTTTTGACTATACGGGGAGGTTAAAAAAGTTATTCATTTACTCATTAACTCTTTTGTTTATCTATTTATTTATTTATTAATCCACTCACTCACTCACTCACTCACTCACTCACTCACTCACTCACTCACTCACTCACTCACTCACTCACTCACTCACTCACTCATTCAAAACTATCTGCACAATTGAAGTTATCAGGGTCATAACTATAATAATAAAATATTGTTTAGACAGGCAAAACAAATAATAAAAATCACATGTTTTAAAAAGTTTAAATGAAGGAAAAATAATTAAGCACATGTTACTATAACAGATCACATAATTAATATTGGTACTGTATAATTTCTGTGTTAATTTCAATAAATAATTCATAACAAAACTCTTGTCTATATTTTTATCACTAAGAAAAGGAGTGCATAAAATATAAATAGTAAAAATAATAATGACGGTAATAATTTTTATCATATATTATTATATTATTATTATATTATATTATTTTTATTATTGTTGTAGGGAGCCCAAGGAAATAATTCTCAAAAGATCAATTTATATGCACATATGTTGAACATTCTCCGGCCAGATATGAATATAAAAATATAGAGCTCTCTACTGTCGAAAAGCACTTTTACACACACACACACACACACACACACACACACACACACACACAAACACCAACACGCACGAAAACACAAGCACAAAAACACACATACATATATACAACAGAATACAATAAAAGTTTTAGAGACCAAAAAAAATCTCAAACAGACACTTCAAACTATCAAAAATCAAAACATAACATAAAATCTTATCAAATTTACCAAAGAAACAGACACATATATACAGATAACTACACAAACACAACACACACACACACACACACAGATATCTACACAGACACACACTGATATCTACACACACACACACACGCACGTACGTACATACTGTTTAAGAATACTCAAACATATAACTCTACATTGATGGATCAGGCCATGATGATGAGTCATAATAAGCAAGAACATGGCCAAGATGATAATGATGTTGAAACCAGATGAGAATAACAATGATGAAGGCAGTATTATTGATAATAAATATGACCAATAATAATGACAATAACAACATAATTGAGATGATGACGACGACGACGACGATGATGACGACAATGATGATGATGACGCTTAAGATGGCGTTGATGATTATTACCAATGGAATGAAAATAAAGATGAAAGATGACAAGAGCAGGAGAAATAACACGTATAAAACATCCAACTGATCACCAGCTGGCTAAGCAAGTTTCATGCATACTGTATATTTTACTACCTCATTATGACTTGTGAAAACCTTTTTGCCTATAATCAACTACAATAATGATAATAACAACAGTAACAAAAATAAAATAACCACCCAGATAACCAACCAAATAATAATGAATCCTGTTTGAAGTGTTTTATTAGGCTAGCCAGAGTGATAACAACAACAACAACAACAACAACGACAACGAATACAATGTGATGTAATAATAATGTACATTTTAAATGATGATGTTCAGTTAAGCTCATAAGTTGTACACTACATACAATTTAGTAAACTACATTACTGCCTGATAAAATGATAATACTACTATGCCTGGTAGAATGTTAGCATTAACTGTTTCAGTAAAGAAATAGTATCTTATTACAATGGTTAGTAGTAATACATACAACAGTAAATTATATTACTATTGTATGTGGGTAATGTACCATAATTTAAAAAAAACTATGTTAAAGCTTATTTACACATAGATAGACACAACATAGAAAGACACACACACACACACACACACACACACACACACACACACACACACACACACACATATATATATATATATATATATATATATATATATATATATACACATACACACACATAAAAATATACACACGCAGACATCCACAAAGTCTAAATCAATGTCTCCAAGCTTCTATTTTAAGGGATGTACTTAGAAAAAGTTAATCATCAATTTAAGTCAATAAAATAACTCCATAACTGCTCAATGATCACAAAAATAAGGTGCAACTTCAGTGCAACATGATACACATTAAAATTTTTATAGATAGATTCATTCATTTATTCATTTATTCATTCATTCATTCATTCAATCATTCATTCAATCATTCATTCATTTATAAATGAATGAACGATAAAATCAACAAACCATTCAATGGATGAATGGCAGCAATGATGAAGAAATATTATGAAAAAAGAAGCGAAAGCGAAACTGAAAAAAAAAGGCAACTCATAGGTACAGGTAGGTGCAATAAATAACAATGGAAAAAGTAAAAGAATGCCCTTTAAAATGATGGTCAACCTGTTGGTCAGTCGGCCAGTGCATTGGTTACATTTAAACTTTTTATGATTAATATTGGAAATACATTTGTATTTTTATAACAGGCTGTCATTGCCATTACCATTTTAACATCAAAAAACAATGAAATAATAGTTAAATAAACGTAAATAAAAATAATAATAATAATATTATTATTATTATTATTAGTAAAAAACTAGCCTTGAGTTTCTGCAATTCAAAGAGCCTAATGACAAAGTCTTTATTGGACTCCAGTTCGTCAATGAACTTGACCTTGAGTCCGACATCTTTGAAGGTCATCTCTTCATCGTACCTGCTCTCTCTAGAGGGAAAGTATTTGTGGCATTTTATCTGTTTGGTTTTTGTTTTTTTTTTCAATTAATAAAATTGGTAATTTTATTTCAAAAAATAGTGACGTTAACATGGGTAGGTTGATAATAGCAGCATTACAACAGTACAGTAGTGACATCAATATCTACATTAACACAGTAGAGTAATGACATCAAAGCAACATTACCACAGTTGAGTAATGACATCAATATAAACATTACCACAACGACATCAACCGTAATGTTAACATTAACACAGCCAACAATAGCAGTACCATTACCAACCATGATCGTGTTAATAAAATATAATAACATACTACAGCAAAGACACCAGAAAAAATGCGTTGGCTGCAGTTGGAATTTTTCAGCCAGAAATACGATGATGATGATGGTAGTGGTGAGAGAAACATGATATGATAACAAACAATATATAGTAATGAGAATAAAATGAAGAATAAGATGATGATGGTGATGATGATGACGGTGATGATGATGACGATGATGATGGTGATAATATCAATTTACACCATATCAAATGTGATTGATGGACGGTTTAGATTCAAAAATATGTCTAATGAGCAATTCCAAATTTGAGTGAAAAATAGTTATAATGAAAATAAAAAAAGTTTAGTTATAAAATCTACAGCAAGTAAACAGAAATTAAAAATTATGCCTATGACCTTAAGGTCTTGATAAACATCTGAATAAAATTATTTTACAGATAAAAATGGCAAAGAAAAAATTCAAATTTTATAAAAAAATTTCAAACAGTTTAAGAATGGTAAAAAAATATAAAAATTTTAAAAATCACTCTCTCTTTCTAAAGACAGGTGATTATTTCAATCGTTCAAAACTCATAATGTCTGAATATAAATCAACAGTGGCCTAAACTGGATTTGAATGTATAAACAAGTAACAAAATATTAGAGGGACAAACCACAACAATGGCAGCAGCGACAGCCACTACAACAACTACAATTACCGATACTACTATTAATACAACAAGTACAGTAATTGCTGCAACAACTTTAACTACAGAAGGCATACAATTACAACTTAATTAGCAGTTTTTGTCACTGAATGCTGAACAACAACCACATGACAACGACATAACATCGATAACTGAGAACAACAACAACGACAATGTCAACAATGTAACACAAGTAAGAAAGCAAGAATGTTTAAGCGGAATCATGAATATGCATAAGCTGATTATGCTAATTTATTTCGCAGGCACACTCAATGAAAATACGCATACACGCACGAACGCACACACACACAAACACACGCACGCACACACACACAAACACCGCCCACATTAAAATATAAATAAATAAAAATTTATTAAATTCAAGCAAACAGACCACCACACAAGTAAGTACACACACACACATCTGAAACAAAGTAAAGAAATGTTCATAATTACATATACTTTATAACTGTATGAATGCATGCATGTGTTAATGCATGTGTGTATGTGAAATATAACATAATATATAATATCTGGACGTCATTAACCCAAACTTCCTCATCATTATCATCTTCTTCTTCATCATTATCGACATCACTAGCTCACAACATCAATATCAAACACGCTATCACATCAACTTTTGACCCAACAACAGTAGAGCGACAATTACATAAAAAACAGTGAAGCAATGACAACAACTACGCCACAGCATCAACACCGCAGCAACCACACCACAGCAACCACAACACACGACAACCACTACTAACATGATCCTTCTCAATGATCCTGTTTAGCATCAGTATGGCACTACTGCCTTGCTCCCATACCATCAACCAAAAGTGACCTGATGTATCTGGCAGTGGTCCCTAAATTAAACATATATAAACATACATAACCATGTCGTACACAAAAATAAACATGTACAAAAACATATGCACAAACATACATAACCATGTAGTACACAAACAAACATTAAGTAAACATGTTGTATAAAGTAAACATGTTGTATAAACATCATAAATAAATATATTGTAGACATTATTAAACATTAACAAACATACTGCAAAGGTAAGCTAACAAACAGTTAAACAAACATAACTAAACAAACATAAAGCTACATATTTGTTTCAGTGTAAAAACATTTCAATAAAGCAAAAAAAGTAAATATTTTAAAACTTAACAGTTTATTATTATTATTATTATTATTATTATTATGAACAGTTTCATCCGATGCTGTCCATCCACAACAAACATATTCCTCATGTAGATATTGGAGGCCACTTCGTATATTTAGGTAAGTTATACGATTTCGAAGGAAATAATACAAAGGCCAACAATCTAATGGTCAATAAACTCAAAAAAATATTAACAACTGTCAGTGAACTGAACACAACAGCTCAACTCAAATTACGAATCCTCAGACTTTACTTGCCGTCACAATTTGCGTTTGAGTTTCGAATGTACGATACATCGCTGACTTGGATTGGTGAAAACTTAGACACCTTGGTCACCGAATCGGCAAGAACATGGCTATCATTGCCTATCAGCAGCTGTCTGTTGGAAACTATGTCGCTCCCATACAAGTCAGGTGGTCTAAATGCTAGAACACTCAAACATTTTGCCAAATCTCTAAGAGTAAAATTACGAAATTACCTTAAATCAAACGGCCACGAGGAGTTAAAATGTTTGTGGAGTGAGTCATACAATAAGTATATTAAAATTGACAACATACTTCCCGACTCAAATGACACAAAATCGACACTCAGCGCTCTAAAGAACCGGCAAGTAAATGAAGAACTGGAACATTTGCTGTCACTCCGCTGCCAAGGGACCATTTTTAAGTCGATTAAAGACAACATTCCCGTGGTAAGAATTGCTCACTGGTCGAGGTTCACCGCCAAACTTCCTGAAGTACTGTTCAAATTTGTTAGGAAAAGCCTTATTCAACAGCTTCCAACGAATGCTAATCTATTTAGATGGGGAAAATCGTCTTCTGCCCTTTGTACACTTTGCAATGCTCGGCAAACCAACAAACATGTCCTATCCAACTGCAGCTCGGTGGCAGCATTAAAAAGGTACACAACACGCCATAAAAATATTCTAAATATAATAATAGAAAAATTGAAATCATGCGCAGGACCAGAGGTTGCGATGTATGCAGATGTCGTTTATGATGGGATCCGCCCACTGTCGTGTCTCTTTAAATCACTTCGTCCCGACATCGACATTGCACTACTCTGTGACAACACAATTGAAATATTGGAGCTCACCGTCTGCCATGAGTCTAATTTTTTCAATTCAAAACAATATAAAATGGACAAATATTCTAATAACCTCCATAACAATTTACTTGACAATTTAAAACATTTAAAAATAATAATCAACACGTTCGAAATTTCGCCGCTAGGTTTTTTCAATTGTTTCGATTTGTCGCTAGTTGACATTATTTGGTCTGATCAATTTTATAATAGTCTTATTAACTCTGCGATATCCTCACTATACGCTGTTTATTGTGATAGAAATTTGACGGAATGAATCAATGTAAAACTAATCTGTTCTCGTTGTACTCATTTCGTGTTTCTTTCACTGAATGACGAGCTACGTAGAATACGCTTTTATAATTTTTTTTTTTACCTAAATCATTTTTGATTATCGTCGATTATTTTATCCAAACTTTATTTCATTTCATTTTATCTATCTTAATGTATTTTTTTTTTTTTGTGGGGAAAATAAAAGATGTTAACATATCATCATCATCATAAGCCATCTATTGCGACAGACATTCAAATGTATAATAACTATATTAAGACTGATTACATTTCTCGTTGTACGCATTTTATATCTATAATGGTGAGCATCGTAGACTACTTTCTCATTTTAATTCATTTTATTTTATTTTATTTCATTAAATATTTATTTCGCCCCTTTTTTGGAAAAAAAAG